AGAAACACAAACTGCAGCCTCCACAGCGATCACAAACTCTGTGAAACAGACTGAACACAAACTAAACATCATCACCTACATGAAGGAGGGTTTACTGACTGACTCAGTTTGAGCTGGGTGTTCCTAATAAACTGACCACTGAGTGTACATACGAGCGTGCATGCGTCTTCACCTGTATGAGGTTGTGAGCGCTGAGCAGAGGCATGGTGTCGAGGTTCAGCTGTTTCTCCTCCAGCAGCTGCCGAGGCAGAGTCTCCTGATGCAGCAGGAAGCGCTCCCGCTCCACGATGTCTGATTGGACAGATAAATGACAGGGAGGAGCCTGGTCACACAGCGCTGTGTATGTTTGATGTAAAATGGCCCCTATGTCACAGTGGTGACGAATCCTTTAAAACATTTCTGGATCCAGATCAGCATCAAAACCTGACTTAGGCCGATTTATGTGTCCATTCATATAGTTTATGCTTTTTAAGGTGTGACTGTGACATTGGATTTCTGTTAATACTAATATTTGATTTGTCACCACTGAGAATGTGAGCCTGCTCTCAACTGGTTTTTCCCCTGACTAAATAAAGATCGATGACGATCAGAAGTGGCTTGTTCTCCGGCCTCCTCCTTTGAGCCACCAGCACCGATTCAGGTTTAACGTTTGAGGTGAATCCACCTGATTCACTGGATTCTCTTTGATTTTATGCCTTAGGTTGTGTTTTTACCATCCACTTGTTTGTTGAGCTCGCCCTCCGGCAGGTTGGACACCAGCGCCGTCAGCTTACTGAGAGCCAACAGCGTCTTCTTCTTCACAAAGTAGCGCGTCTCTGCGTTGGCCTGGCTGTACAGCGTCCTGTGGGCCTGCAGACACAACATCAACAACATCAGACTGAAAACTGAGGGAAGCAGCTGCACAGTGTGTGAAAGCAGCTGTTTGCACAGTTCTAGGTTTTGGTGGGATATTAATGAATGTGGGTTACAGCTACTGGTTATGTTTCTATGGAAACCAAAGGCTACAGGTACTATGCATGATCATCCCTCAGGCAGAACAGAGGATAGCTTCAGTGAGGTGTAATGCACCAAAACGTTTACCACCTCTGTACACTGTCGAGCTCTAAACCTGCAGAAGACGTTGGTCAGTGTGACGTGTTCGACTGCAGCCAAGCAGGTTTCATTTTCTATCACAGAAATAAAGTCAAAAGTATAACTGTTTAAAACCAGGACTGTGAACACTTCTGCTTCAGTCACAAGGTTAAATAAGGACGTTTTTCTGTGTGTGTGTGTGTGTAGTTTCCTGTGCATGCTTGTTAACCGCAAACAGGAAGGAAGCTGCAGAAAGTGTGTGTGCGTTCAACAGAGAGACAGTGTACTTGCTCTGCTTGTTGTGAGCATTAGGTTTGATGCTGCTGAAACAGGAAGGAAACCAAGTTTGTGAGCATTTCATCTATACTACACTGTAGCAGCTGTATGTGAGAGTATGAAACAGCAAAGACAATGTAATCCTGCCTGTTGTCTCTTTACCGCACTGTGACAGATGTGAGTAACAGGAAACAGAGTGGGAAGGAAGGAAGGAAGGAAGGAAGGAAATACACACCAGTGTTTGTGTGGGTTATTTCTGACACTGTGGGAGTTTAAAGACATTTAAGTGTTAAAGAAGTGAATCTGGTAACAGCTGTAGATGGGAGGATGTGTTTGTATGAAGACAGGTGAAAATGAAAGAAGGAATAAACAAAGGTAAAGAAAGTAAAGAAGACAAAAGGATGGAAGAAAGGAAGGAACAAAGGGAATAAAAGGGGACATGAAAGAAGATAGAAAGGAAACAACAAAGGGGGAAAACAAATGGGAAGAGAAGAGAAACACTGAAAGGAAGTTAAATGTTAGCATGGAACGAAAGATGAACAAAGGAAGGAAGAATTACAGGAAGAGAAGACCAAATGAGGAAAGACAAAGGAAAAAGAAAGAGAAGACATGAAAGAGAGCAGGGACAAAGAAAGAACACAGCAGGAGGCCATGTTTTATTTCTTCCCTTTATCTTCACTAGGACAGATTTAGGGGAAGCTAAAGGAAGGAAGGAAGGAAAAAACTAAAGAAATAGGATGAATGGAGGGAAATAGGATGAAAGAAGGAACAAGGAAAGAAGAGTGTTTATTCCTTTTATCTTCACTAAGAAAGCTGCAGAGAAGTGTAAGGAAGGAAGGAGAGGAAAAGGAAAGGAGGAGAGAGGATAGGATGAAAGGAGGCCTGACGGGCAAAGGGGAGGAAAAAAGACTAGGAGTCAAAGTGACAGACTGAGGAAACAAATGAAAGACAAGTTGTATGTGAGACTGTGTCTTCTTTAGTGAGGTGTGGTTGTGGGTTTGTACCGAAGCACAAAACAAACCATGTGTGCGCATGAGTGTCTGCGTGTGTTGTGTGCGTCGTACGCTGTGGTAGTCGTGCACGTGGATGTGGTGCAGCCAGCTCAGGTGCTGGTGAGCCTGCAGGAAGCTGGCCAGCTGCTGGTGCTGCGCGGCCGGCTGGGACAGCAGCTTCCCCCTCTTCCCTTTCTCCATGTACCAACGAAAGAGGAAGTCGGCAAAGTTCTGCAGCGGGAAGTGACACGTGCAACAAAGAGGAAGTCAGAGGCTCAAACAACAGACCGGTATCACCTTGATGAGTTTGAGGGCCACAGCAGCCGATCAGAAAACATCGGAGACAATGTCACCTTCAGTGATCAACAAAGCACACAAATGAAGAAATCCACCTGAGAAGTCACCAGGCTCAGTAGCCACTGCTTGTAATTTGTGTCCTGGACAATTCAAGACCACCTGAGAGTCATATGATGTTTTAATGCTCACTACACACCAAGACACAGGCTGGATCTCATTTAACAATGAACTACAGTTTATGTGCACCAGACCCGACTGTGTGTGTGGCCCCGAGTACCTGGTCTGCGAACTTGGTCATGTAGTGCTGCAGGCGGCTGTGGTTGTCGGTCTGCTCACACATCTGGACCAGGATGTCGAAGTCACAGTACTTCTCAGCCAGCGTTGCCAGCCACTGGTACTGGCCCAGCTCCACTGCAACATGTCACAGACTCGTTGGATGGAAAGTGGGACAATCTACCCTCATACGCTACACCTCGTCTTACTCCTCATCTGCTTTATTTAAAGACGAACTTCTCCGAGTTACAGTGAGGTTTTAACAATTACAGAACTGACAGTGTCTAAATCGGGTTTCTGTTACCTCCCTCCACAGAAACGCCAGTTTGAATCCTCAGGTTGACACAGAGTGACATGTTTCCTGTAACCGGTCTATTATTAGACTCATCCTCAACTTACACAGTGGTGCCAGCAGCTCAGAGCGGCGCTGGCTGTACTCCATCTCCAGACTGTTGTAGCGCTCCTGTTGGGCCCCCGGGGGACTCTGCCGCTGCACGGAGGTCAGCTGAGCCACATAGCTCCGCAAGTAGATGTCCAACAGCGCCACCAACTGCTCACACAGGATGCTACGCAGCTCTGAGTCGGCATGGGGGTACACCGAACGCAGGATGATCTCGTGCTGGCGACAGATGACGGTGCGAACGCCGCCAACACCTCCCGATGCTGGAGGAGCAAAAGATTGGGTGGGAGAGAAGGATAAACTCAAAACTAAGATTGTCCATTCATGGTGGTCTAACCTTAAAAATCCAACACATGCACATGCTAATTTCTAAACAGGAGAGTCATTTTCAGGAGTGCACGTGGTCCCACCTCCTCTGCAGACACTTTGGATTTCGTGTCCACTCAGACTTTGGAATCAGGACCCAAGTAAAGTTAAACTGTAAGTCAGTTGTAACGGCGTCTGGCCTCACGTGCAGCCAACAGTGTGCTGTGTTACCTGTCCATGGGATGTACTCAGGCTCTGCAGCAGCGTTTTCAGCAGCTCTGTACATGGAGGCCTTCTCTGTGCTGGCCAGCAGCCTGGAGCATGTCCTGCACACACACACACACACACACACACACACACACACACACACGGTACAAGTCAGTCAAATGTTTCACACGATTAAATTAGGTGTTTATTTAAAGTGTGACTTGCAGGTTAGCAACCCTGGTGATTCACTGTGGAAGAAACGACAGAGTTACTGCATGTGGCCGACTCAAGAAGACAAACTGTGGCATCACCAAAGGGAGTCCGCCCGATGTTATGGGGTTAAAGGGCACTAAACTGTGAAGATCACAGCTCGTCTAATCTGTCAAAGTGCACGGTGTTTTCTTTGGTATTCTAACACATGTACTTCTATGCTCCAAACGTAGATATTGTTGTGTAACTGACGGTCTGCTGTCTTCCATGTCTTCACCTTGATGATGCTGTTGACGGTGACAACCACCTCGGCCCACTGCACAGAGTCGACCGGGTTCTCCTTCAGACTGCGCTCCTCCTCCTCCAGCAGACACTCAAACACCGAGGAGATCTGAGACACCTGTGAGAGCAGAAACAGTCAGGCAACGTGCGCACGACATAAATGACAACAGGGCGCATTCGGACACAAACCTCTCTGAAGAAGACATCAGCGGGAGTGAGGCTGGGCGGCACGGCGGTGTTGTTCCTCTGTAGCGTGGCGGAGATGGCCCGGTTCACCAGCTCAGTGTGTTTGGAGTGGTGGTTCTTCAGCGCCATGGCTGCCTGCAGCTTCTCAGCGTGCTCACACAGCAGCAGGCGTGTTGCCATGGGAGATGAGCGCACAGTCACCTGGCCTAGCCGGTCCAGCAGACCCACCTGATGAGGAACGTGTTCATGGCTGATTCTACTTTTCTGTTCTTTATAAATTCCACCAAGGTCACCCAGAGCACTGGGTGGTGTAGAGGTTGTGTGTGTACCTGGAGCAGGAAGTCCATGAAGCAGCCGTGGGCCTTCATCTTGTCTTCCAGCTGGTGGAGGATGATGAGGGAGGTGAGAGGAAAGCCAGTGCTCTCTGGATGGACAGACATGGAAACGTTTGTATAAAAGAAAGACTGAGAAAGTACAAAGCAGTGTCAGTTTAAACACTTTCATAATCTTCAGTGTTACAGGATGCGCACAGCAAAGAATCGTGTTCGTACACAGCGGTAAAATGTCACCATTCAGAACGTGTGATGTGTCTTCACACAGACAAAATACTTCACCTTTACTAAATAAATGTGGAACAATTACTTGCAAAAAAGGTTATTTGTAATCTGAGGATTTCCCGTGAACCCCACAGTGTGATCATCTCGTGTGTTTATGGTTAACGTACACACTGTGTCATAATTTAACTCCGTAGAGAAACGCTGACCAGGCAGCCTTCTATTTGAGTTCTGGATTTTTTAAGAACCAGTGGATACATGGTCTGTTGCTCCCCATTTCCCCTCCTCACCTTCGGGGACAGACTCGGCCCAGCGGGGGTCGGAGGCTGGGTAGTCGTCCACCAGGTCCAGGTTGATTTGCATCACCACGCCGTCCAGCTCGGCTCCCTCGTCCCCGTCGTCGTCAGCGGGAAACAGCTCGTCTGTGACCGTCTGAGCACCCACCAGGTCGTTACTGACAAAGGAGAGAGGATGATCTTTAACTACAGTGTCACAGGGACTAGATCCCTGTTTTCTAAATCCTAAGTCATAACTGTTTTTTTAAGCACCAATGGTTAAAGATGTCAGATACCTGCACAACATATCAATAGTTTTCTCTGTACAAGGACGATCATCAGAAGTCCAAGTGGTAGAAACAGCCCAGTGGCTCCATATAATATGATGCAGACCAAGATGTTTGAGGTTTTAGTTCAGTGACTGATGCCAGGGACCAGCTCTCTCAGTTAAAACTGACTTTTTAAACGGGACCTGGGAGCGATCTGCTAACGTACCGACAGAACTGCAGGAAGGCCGCCTTCAGGAATTTGGTTTTGTCCTCGTGAGCTACGGGCTCTGCTCTGGTCGGAGTCTCCACGGCTGAAACCTCAAACACAAAATCAAAACTACAAACTCATTTCCATTCAATCACAACCAGTGTCATCTTCCTTTTTGTTCCAGGTTTCTCAATTGAATACTTTCATGGAAATCCAGTACAACATGGCCTAGTCTAATCACTGAATGACGTCTCTGCAGTATATAACAATAATTCCTAATGAGATAATTCATTAAGTTGATGCAACCAGGACCCACATAAACAGCATAACACAGATAAATGCATTCACCAATTAAAAAGAATAATTCCTTTAAGAGGGAGCAGTGCAGCACACGTCGTTCTACACTAGGCCAGAATTCTTGCATGAAATTTCAGACTTTTCAAAACCTTCTGAGGCTGAATTCTTTCTGAAGTCCTTGTAAGACCTGCAGAAACGTCGTCTTTTAGTCTTCGTCTACAGGCTGCTCCCACACATCCCGTCTCAGCAGGGGCCAGTTTGAGTTTTACCTCCGGAGCTGCAGCCAGCGAGGAGCACAGGGAGTCCTCCACGGTCTCCGGCAGGATGGAGGCACTCTCCCTGGCCACCACCGCCACCAGGCCGCTGTTCTGGGAGAAAAACACGGGCAGGTTGGCGCAGCAGCCTCCTCCTCGTACGCCGTCACCTGGACAGAGAGGCACACGTCAACACAGACAGTGTTAGGTTTCTCTGTCACTGTTCTACTTTGGTTCCTATAAATAACAACAGCGCTCGAGTAGGTATTAAACAATCAGTTCCCAAGCTTCTCCACACTCCTGCCTTCAAAAACTCTTTTAATGACCAGTAAAACAGTTAACACTGAGTTCACCAAGTCAAAGAATGTAAAGACAATATAATGCCACACTACATTTAAATCCAGTCATGCCAGTGTGAACACTGGTGCAGACGTCCCCACTGACTTTCACTTATATGTTCTACGCAGTTCACAGGTTGAGTTACTTATTAAGTGGATTCATGTATTGACAATTACAACATGACTTTTCTGTCAGAACATCCAACAGCACCGTCTGGGTAAAGAGGAGGACTTGGATGAACCCAGTAACAATTATATGATGGTTATATAAGCCTGTTTCTATAAAATCACATACTAAAGCATTTTCTAAGCCAGTGGCACGAAAGAAAATATATTTATGACCTTGGTAAATAAAATACAAGAACTTTAATGCCCTCTGAGGAAACTAAGTGCATTTAAGCTTTTCCCAGATCGTGTGTTAAAACCTTCTGATGCCTGAAACACTCGTCTTATGGTTAAATGTGCTGGACTCAAAAACCTTCCCCATTTATTTTTACATAATTACTGTGTTTTCTCACAATGTTCCTTTGTGGTTTAATTAATGCAAACTAACTGCTTAAAGCTCAGTCAAGTCTTATATGATTCTCCAAAGTATAAAAGCCTATTGAACTGTATTACTTATGAGCTGACTGAGGGTTGTACGGTGCTTCAGCTGCAGTGCAGACAGCACTAGAGAGACCACAGCCAGATGAACCAGGAACACTGTGGCACCAACCAAACACAGAGTGGCCACTTCTCACCAGGCGAGTTAAAGCTGATTTTCTCATCAGGCAGCCCCCCCCTTCTGGTTTCTATCGTGCAGGCGAACACCCATAGAGGAAGGCGGTGGAGCCGGGGAACGGCGGCAACACCATCCGCATGGACTGCAGTGCCTCCTCACTCTGTAGACATATGATAACAAACAGTTAGCTCCACAGGTGGAGAGACGACCCGTCCACAGAAAACACAGCGGCCTCCTCACACGACAAAGGTTAGCATGAAAAACTAACGCTGTGCCGTTTTCTGCTGCAACGTGTTGCTTGTGCTTCAGGAGGCAGAGCATCGCTGCTGAGAAACTGAGGATTTAATCGGTTTAATCAGGAGACCCTGTACGCCCAGTTAGTTTGTTTCTATGGAAAATTATGAACCTAACAACCACAACTGTCTGCTCCTCCATCAGCTGTCACTGACTCCCAGACTGACACTAAACACGGAGCCTCAGCAGTATTGATGAAGCGGCGTTAAGCACACAGCCACAGTGTGAGCTGATTGACCTTAACACTGGACTTTGTTCCTGCAGCTTCAGTGGAAAATCATCCACAGCTCTGGCTGGATCTCTGGAGCCAACAGCCAGGCTTATTTCTTCAGATAATCAACATTTCACACTCATTACTTTGGATATTTCTACAGTTTTAGGCACAACTTCTCACAAACTCCCACCTGAAGCAGAAAAACAAGCCTCCGGACCTTTAGTTCCTTATCAGATCCACTAAACTCAGTTTCAGGACTGACCTGGAACGGAGTGTTGTACTTGGTGACCTCCACAGTAAAGTGGTCAGAGATGGCGGCTCCGTTGTCCTGCAGGGTCACCAGGCAGAAGTAGGCCAGGCAGGGGGTGTCTGACGGGTGCCAGGCTGCAGCCAGCACCACCAGGCCGGCTCTGAAAACACAGCATGGGCCACAGATTCAGCATCTGGCATTTCTCTGGCTTCATCTAAAACCCTGTAACGTGGTTAAAGTAAACTGAACGCTGGCTGTGATCAAAAGTTCCCTATGTGCATGAGGTGGAGAGCAGTGCACTGATGACTGTTTGTTTATAATATGCTCTGTGATTTTCATGGCACAGCCGGGGGATGAGAGGGATAACCTGTAGACCTCTACCTCCTGTTCACTGTACATCACATTCAGTTACAGACGATTTATACCAGAAAGATGTTATTCAGATAGTTTTTAAAATGCAGACTGTAGCTTAAAATGTGACAGACAACTTAAGACCTTTCATATTCAAGTATAAAACAGGATATATTGCACAGATAAACTGTTTAAATGCACACGGACAAACACACTCACTGGCCGAGCTTCATATCCAGGTACGCCACATTCACTCCGTCCTTCATCTCATCGTAGTTGCTCTCTGACCCCTGGCAGGAGACAAATATCAGAACGTATGACCATGATACATACGCACAGTACTGAAGCTTTGCGTGTTGTAAAGAAATTGAACAGAGAACCTGCTCAGCATGCCCGCCAGCTTCCAGCGGAAAAGATAATGTGTGGATTTGGTTCAGTAACAAAAAAGCACTTTCACCAGCACGGTGTCTCAGCGTCAAGGGAAACTGTGCGACGAGGAGTCAGACTTACTCTGCACAGTATACAACAATCACGTGTACGCTCATACTAACCCAGATGGCGTCGACGATGCTCTCGGTCAGAGCTCTGTGGATGTCCCAGCTCAAGACCTGGTGCTCCGAGACGTCCTCCACCTCCCACTTACTAAGACTGGAGCTGGTGAGTGTGTACAGGCAGCTGGCTCCGCCCACCCACAGCACGCTGTGGAGCTGCAGAGAGAGAGAGAGAGAGAGAGAGTCACCAACCAGACACTGGTAGACTGTGTATAAATACACTGTGCTGTGACTGTTGGCCAAGAAAACTATACAGGGACTAAACAGCTGGGATTTGAAACACTTCTGGATCCGCGCCCAAACAAATGACACAATTCTCTTCACTGCTGAA